AAAAAAAAAAGCTTCTATGTTCCCTATCTATCCAGGGTGAAAGAGCTTGGACACCAGCAAGAACAGGCTGTAAGAGTACCACCTGGGAGGCTTGGCTCAGTGCCCTCACCTGTGCCTCCTTTCAGTTCAGCTGAATCTTGCTCTAGGGTAGGATTTTTGTACTCCTCTGCCTGCCATAGTCCTGGGCCTAGCTACAAGCAATGGCGGCTCTGGAGACATGATAAGGGGACAGTAGTTTTTCTGCTTTTAGCTGGGCACTCAAGCCTGTTAACAGCCCATACAAAGCTCAGGCCATGTGCAGTTGGCATCTAACAAATGTTTTGTTTTGACTTTTTCCGAGACAGAATCTCACTATGTCGCCCTTGGTAGAGTACTGTGTTATCACAGCTCACAGCAACCTCAAATTCTTGGGCTTACGTGATTCTCTTGCCTCAGCCACCCAAGTAGCTGGGACTACAGGCACCTGCCACAAGGCCCAGCTGTTTTTTGGTTGCCGTTGGCATTGTTTAGCACGCCCAGGCCGGGCTCAAACCCACCAGCTTTGGTGTATGTGCCTGCACCCTACTCACTAAGCTACGGGCACCAAGCCCTAATAAATGTTTTGGTGAAAAAGACTTTCTATCTGAGGTCCTTTTCTTGGCAAGCAACTGGTGTCAGTTTTCCTAAAGTCGAGATATGTGGTCCCAGAGGATATCTCTACGGGGAAGGCTGATGTGGGAAGAACCAGATGAAGGTGTTGCATGTTCTGCTAAGAGTTGGGTTATGAAGCCTCCATGGTTCTGATTACATTCCACAGGTGACTGAAGAGGAGCCTGTAGCTCCCCACACAGGGAGTCCTACACAAGGACTCAGCCCTCTAATAGTCATTGTAGGATAGGTATCTAATAAACCTCCCATATACCACCACAAACATGAAAGCTGCCTAGTACTTGGGATACCTTTTATTTTATTGATCATGGCTCCTCCCATAAATTCTGGAGGTAAAGGACCTTTGTCCCCATTCTAATACAGAGCAGCAGACTTCTATTCTGCCATAAACATGCAATAGTTCCTGAATCTCTTGGATTCTGAAGCCTCCTACCTTATTTTCTGTCCACCTTCCTTTATTCCTTCTCTTGTTTTTTCTCCTCTCTTCTTCCCCCTATTACCTCCTTCCACTCTAGCTGACCAAATGCAATTCTTGGATCGTAGATTTTGCTGATAGTTGAGTTTTCTGTCTCCCACACTTTTCCTGCTTCTGTTGTGCTGCTTTTCCAGATCTAGTTCTCAACCTCTTATCTGTCTCCCTTTCTTACCAGCAGCTTTAGCATGCCCTACCCCTTCCCTGCATACCTCCACCTTTTTCTTCTTTTTTTTGAGATAGAGTCTCACTATGCAATGTCACAGCTCACAGAACTTCCAACTCTTGGGCTTAAGCAATTCTCTTGCCTCAGCCTCCCAAGTA